ACTAGGTGCATTCTACATAGTCGCCCTGACAACAAGACCAAGTTGCCACAACGAGGTCAACCCACTTCTAGCAATCGAAAGGAAACTGCGACCACACCAGAGGCCACAACATCTTGGTCTTCATATCTTCAATCCCTGCTTAGCTTGTCACCTGCTCTGATTCCTAATACACCCTCCTTCGAATCTCTTCACCCAACACTTCCACTCGAAATGGAATCAAGCTGAACAATTATGAAAGAAGAGATTCCTCGAAACCCAACTTTTCTTCGTATATGTTACGGATAGAAACGCGAGATTAAGTCCAGTACACACAGCTTCCCAGTTGGCTCGGCACCAGAGTTTGATCATGTCGAAAGTGGCAAACAATTGTCTGCTAGTCTACCATCCAGCTTGAGAATCCAGCGATTGGAGGCACTCTGAAAGTGGAGATCAAAAGTTGTGACGATGAGGCCGGGAGAGACGAGAATGGCGGATGGGTAAGTGTACCAAAAGAGGAGCTGAAAGATGGACAAGGATGGCTCTTTGGCGAATAGTAGCTCGTGGCTGAAGATTCCGGCGAAGCGACTGGCCTGGCAGAGGAATGTGGACAAGGTGGACTGGAAATGTCTATCAAACCAGAAGTCAGGACGCTAGAGTCACCTTCCGACACGAAGAAAACTGGAAATTGTGGACATGCAAATAAATATAAAATATAATATTGCTGTGATTAATAAAGAAGTGATCAAGTCGGCTTGGTTGATGCCAGTCCTGACGGCAGATTGGCCTGGAAACAACTCTGCCGCACTTTTAACCACCAGATTGGTACATTGGTACAGATTGGCTCTGCACAGATGCTTCCCCCACTTGCCGAATTGGCACCACATGTTACGTGTGGTAGAGACCTCGTGTTAAAATGGTACCGGTCCGAGGAAGCCCGAATTGGTAGCAGATTCGATTGTGGCCGAATGTAACACTTCGAACAACAAGTCTGTCACATGACTTCACTATTGGCCAGCAAACGGCCCGAGTACGGTACAGTTTTGTCAGTCGATAATATGCCACGTTTGTACCCTCGAGCCATGTCTTCGCTTCACGTACCACAGTGACGGATGGCCAATAGAAATGGTGCTGAGAATAGGGCATATCAGACAGGAAATGTGAAAGAAAGTAGATACGAAGAGAAACTTGGTTTCGATGAATCTCCTGAGATATCATTGTTAGGGGGAACTT